AAAATGTCATTGACTAGAAAATGTCATTGATTAAAAATGTCATTGACTAGAAAATGTCATTGATTAAAAATGTCATTGACTAGAAAATGTGTTGCTTAGAAGTGTCATTGATTAGAAAATGTAGTTGATTACAAAAATGTCATTGACTAGAAAATGTAGTTGATTAGAAACGTCATTGACTAAAATGTAGATTAAAAATGTCATTGACTAGAAAATGTCATTGATTAAAAATATCATTGACTAGAAAATGTAGTTGATTAGAAATGTCATTGACTAGAAAATGTCATTGATTAAAAATATCATTGACTAAAAATGTAGTTGATTAGAAATGTCATTGACTAGAAAATGTAGATTAAAATGTCATTGACTAGAAAATGTAATTGATTAGAAATGTCATTGACTAGAAAGAAAAATGTCATTGACAGATGTTTTTCATGTAGTCCTCATGACCGGACCGGACCCCCAAATTTTCATTATTAAGCTAGGCATCCCTTAAGTGCCCCAGTTGATGACCTTTTTGCCACAGTTGTTAAGCGAATCACCACACTTGTTAAGTCAATTGTGTGATTGTTCCTTTGAATCCAACTTCCCCATTGTCTTTGCTGGTCAGAAAAAGGTCGCAAAAGGTGATATCATGTGATATCAGTTGCCAGACACCCAATTTTGATCCGGTGGGGATCGTCGTAAGATGGCAACGTCACACCAGACAAGAATAGCGTCCATTGCACCGTCCCCAGTGGCTTATTTGACCAAACCCTCCCCATTGCCTCTTCAGAATAAGCGTTGGAAGGGACCTCGGAGGTCTTCTAGTCCAACCCTTGCTCCAACCAAAGACCGTGTACCGCTTCCAACAATTGTGTACAATCTCCTTCTCCTGCAGGCCGGTTTTCCGTTCTGGAAGGGCCCCGGGGGACCATCGCTCCCCAGAGATGCCCCCCATGGCCTCGGACCCCGGACCCTCTGCGAAGGCCACCTGGACGGTGTCCGATCTCTTACGCTTCTCCCCGCCGCCGTGCTCTCCGGCCCCGCCTCCTCGCCGCCCCGCCTGGCACCGCTACCGCCTCTCGGAGAGCATGAAAGGGCTGCTGGTGGCCCTGTTGGGGGGCGGCGTGCCCGCCGGCTTCGTGGCACCCTTCACCCGCATCGTCAACGAGGCCTCGGGGATGCCGTCCCTGGAAATCTTGTTCTTCCGCTGCTGCCTCCACCTGCTCTTTGCCGGCTACCTGCGCTTCCGGAAAGTACCGTGCTTCGGGCCGCCAGAGGTCCGCCAGCGCACCTTGCTCCACGCGGCGGTCAACGTCATCTCCATCGGCTGCGCCTACAGTTCCTTCATGATGGTGCCCAGCGGCAACGCCGCCACCGTGCGCAAGGGTTCCTCCACCATCTCCTCCGTCCTGCTGGCCTTCTGTATCGAGAACACGCGGCTGACCGGCTACGACTGGTTCGGGCTGGTGGGCAGCACGCTGGGCTTGCTCATCATGGTAGTGCCGGACCTGTTGAGCTTGGACAAAAGCACCCAGATTTACGACACATTCGGCTACGTCTTGGCCTGCTCGGGAGGCGTGGCCTTGGCCTTGGGGCTGGTCATCTTCCGGACGCTGGACTTCCCGGCTAAGCTGATGACCGTGGCGTTCCTCTTCGGCGTGGTGGGGAGCCTGGTCTGCTGCCCGATGATGTCCCTCCTGCAGGATCCGGTGATGACGCTGGACCTCTACACCTGGCTGTACGTGGTCTCCATCTGCATCCTGGCCTTGTTCTCCTTCCTGTGCGCCAGCTACGCTGTGACCAAGGCCCACCCGGCGCTGGTGTGCGCCGTCCTGCACTCCGAGGTGGTGGTCACCCTGGCGGTCCAGTACTACGTCCTGCGGGAGGCCGTCACCCCCTTCGACATCATGGGGGCCGGGGTCATCTTGGGCAGCATCGCCATCATCACCGCCCAGAACATCAGCTGCCACCCGGCCGACGAAGAGGAGGGACCCGTCGCACAGCAGAGAGGGGCCAAGTACGCCAAGGAGCCCGTGGGACGCAGCGGGGGGCACCCGGCAGATTGTTCAGCAGGGGGAGATCCAGTAGATTAAAGAGGCAGTTGGTCAAAGTGGGCACCAACTGTACCGCAGAAGGATCCAGTAGATTAAAGAGGCAATTGGTCAAAGCGGGCACCAACTGTACCGGATCCAGTAGATTAAAGAGGCAGTTAGTCAAAGTGGGCACCAACTGTACCGCAGAAGGATCCAGTAGATTAAAGAGGCAGATTACATTGCAGAGAGGGATCCAGTAGATTAATGGGCCAGTTGGTCAAAGTGGGCACCAACTGTACCGTTGAAGGATCCAGTAGATTAAACAGGCAGATTATATTGCAGAGAGGGATCCAGTAGATTAATGAGGCAGTTGGTCAAAGTGGGCACCAACTGTACTGCAGAAGGATCCAGTAGATTAAAGAGGCAGTTGGTCAAAGTGGGCACCAATTGTACTGCAGAAGGATCCAGTAGATTAAAGAGGCAGATTATATTGCAGAGAGGGATCCAGTAGATTAATGAGGCAGTTGGTCAAAGTGGGCACCAACTGTACTGCAGAAGGATCCAGTAGATTAAACAGGCAGATTACATTGCAGAGAGGGATCCAGTAGATTAATGGGCCAGTTGGTCAAAGTGGGCACCAACTGTACCGTTGAAGGATCCAGTAGATTAAACAGGCAGATTATATTGCAGAGAGGGATCCAGTAGATTAAGGAGGCAGTTGCTCAAAGTGGGCACCAACTGTGCCACAGAAGGATTCAGTA